CTGGCTCGGGTCGTCCGTCCGCGACGTGTGCATGGATGAAAAAAGGCGATTTGGATCGGGCCACGTCCCCTTCAGTCGATTAGGTGATTGTAGGCATTTGTTTTGGATGTCCATGGTTTCTAGCGTACGGTTTGGGGGAGTTTCGGGCTTATACAATCTATTTCATATTATCGAATTCGGAGTACCAGGAATTCCGTTTATTAAGTCCCTCAAAAGCAGCATTTAAATAACAGTAAACCTTAATGAAATAACCTCAAGTTAAATTATACCCTTGTATCAAAAGAATTTGGTCTATTTTTCCAAGTTCACGGTTCGAAACAATGGACTTCTGACATGACAAGAAGAGTTCTATCCAAGCGTTTTTGTAAGTTATGAGCAGGAAGACAAGTAAAATAGGGATAAGATTAATTTATGCAACACCTTCGAACTGGTTTCTGAGTTTCAATAAAAGCTGTAAAACAGTCTGGCACCCAACCCGGTTGTGACTTGCTTCGTTGACCATGAGAACAGTCGTCAATCGTGGAGTTGGTTCGTATTCCCCTACGGTCTGCGCAAGGCCTGGTAACAGGGGTAGAACTTGGCATATCCGGTTGTGAACTCCTGGCCATCGCCTGTGCTCTGGTGCATCCGAGTGTGGACCTGATGACGTGGTACCGTCCTAGAATAGCCATTAGTTAAACGATATTCTGCTCAATTTGCGATAATTTACGACCCTAAATGGATATCGTTTAGAGTTGAGGACAACCATTCGGCATACCGTAATTATGGGTAAATATGCCACCTTTTTTCCCACATCCAGCTTGTGCTCTAGTTAATCAGTTCTGGCTCGCCACCTTCTCGTCAAATTATGACATTTGTTACTTGGCAGAACACCGATCACGGTTAGCTCCTGTACCATACTACTGCAATTACCGATGCGAACAAATACTATTCTGACAACATGTCCCCTAAACTTCTTACCTAATCAATCCCATCAACGAAAGAAGGTTAAACACTACTATGAAAATCAGTGACTAGTTAAAACTAAAATATGAAGCTTCGTAAGTT